AGTGTTCTATAATCTTATGACTAAACTCCAGTCTTTTATGGGTCTGTATCCCTAGACTGTGACTGCCAGTTTCTCAGCTCCTAATGTTTCTCAGCTCCTACCCCTTAGCCTTATGGGAAAGATTAGTGGGCTGGAGATGAGGAATGCCTTTCCCTCTGCTGCAATAAGGCTCTGTGAAGTACTTTCCACTGGACAGTAGGCCTCTCCATGGAGAAGACTCTGTATTTCACAAGAATATATACTCTCTGATCAATGAGGGGCTATTTCTGCTATGGTTCTTGGAGTAAAACTCAGAACTTCCAGGATTTCAGATCTCCATGGGGTTTCTTACTTAGATACTATTTCACTCAGTCTCTAGCAATTCATCAAAATTACACTGTAAGTATTCTTACCTGTTTTTGTTGCAGTTTCTGATCTATGTAAGAAGAGACTGTGACTCTCCAGATTTGTCTTTTCTCTAGGTTCTGGGATGGTCATTTGTTCTATGACTACAATTTTTGATGGGTCTAATATAAGTCATTCTTTAGCTTTATTTATGGTTATAAGTCTAGGAGCAATGGCTTCCAAGCTCTTTTCATGTCTGAATTTAAGCTGGAATTTTGGTCTATGGATATTAGTGGGGTAACTAAAGACCAGTCACATAGCTTTGTCCTATTTTTTTCAGCTAAATTTCAGGTATGGGAATAAAATTACCACTGAGAATTTAGTTAAATACTAACTTTTCCCCTTCCTGGTACAGAAAATTTATGTGGCACTCTAAATCTGGCATCTCAGCCCTGAAATTTTTCAAACTTCTGAATCTACATTCCTCATGGTGAGATCTTGTTACAGTGTGGGCCCCAGGAAAAGGGGAGGTTCCAGGTTCCCTGCCCTGCCCAAATAAGGGTGGAACTGGGCAGGAAGAAGAATCTGGGGGAGACTGAAGAGGAAGGAAGCAGGATGGAGGTCAGAAGGAGACCTGAGGGAGGCACAAGGAGCAGAGACATGTGAAGAAGCAGCTTTTGTTTCTTGGTCCTGAGCTGGCTGAAAACAGACGTGGGTGAGACCTGTGGGGAGGTTAAAACGGCAACTTTTATCTTGATTTTGCTTTTTTCCTCTGAGACTTGTCTGGCCATTTCTGACCCTTTTCAATGGGTCTCCACCAGAAGGTGCTTCAGACTTGTGACAGATGGGTAACTTTGGGTATTTGATTTAGCGACTATATTCTTTGTCTTTTCTGTATTGTACACAAATTGTATTAAAGTTCCTTTCCATGAAAGGTCTTTTATGTTTTGTTTTGATGTGGGGGATGGCAGAACCTATATAGAGCAGGCAGGTTTGTGGATTCTGGGGTGCCCTTCTCCCTGTCCTGTAACAGCCTGGGGAAGTATGACTTTAGGAGATAAAAGTCATCTTTTTGACATCCACCAGCACCACCAGTACCACCAGAACAGATGCCTGCTAACAGTGAGTAGTTTCGGAACACTGGACTCACTTCTCAGGTCTCTCGTCTGGGACACTTCCGAGCCAAGCAGCCTGAAGTTTGCATATAGACTTTGCCACTTTGATTTGTATCACTTTGGAAATGGCACATAATGCTTTTATATCTGGGTTAATTCCTCCTTCAAAGGAGCTGGTAGTAACTATTTTACAGGATTTCTATGGATAATAAATGAGAAACTGATCTT